ATCTTGCTAAAAAGTACCATCATGGAACTTCTGCACATCACATGGTGTAAATCAAAACGGCCATTTTTCCATTGCTTTTCCAATGTTTCACGCGTGCTTTACGTGACTTGGCATCATTTTACCGTCTCCTCATTGTTTCCACCGCTGGAAGCAATTTTCCAAGCGTTCTACTCAAATTTGCCATTGCTTTCCCATTCTTTTCCCATTGTTTTACGTCATATTCCCTCATTTGTTCATTGTTTATCCCAAATTTCAGACATATGGCATGAAGATTGCATTGCTTACAAAATTTTGGCAAAAACTGAACTTCTGCACATCACATGTGTGTCATCTCCTCTTGGATACCACAACAAACTAGCAGAATGAGATTTATAACAGATGGTCAAAAATATGATTTCTCAGTATTTGAAGTTAGGTCAATCGGCGAGGCAGCAAAGGACCATAAGAATGCACTAAATCTTGAGCGAATAAGGTATGCTGTCCATCATGGAACTTCTGCACATCACATGTGTGTCATCTCCTCTTGGATACCACAACAAACTAGAAGAATGAAATAATATAAGAAAACAAGGGTTTGAAAAATTTAAAATAGATGGTCAAAAATATTATTTATCAGTATTTGAAGTTAGGTCAATCGACGAGGACCAAGGGTTTGAAAAATTTAAAATAGATGGTCAAAAATATTATTTATCAGTATTTGAAGTTAGGTCAATCGACGAGGACCATAAGAATGCACTAAATCTTGAGCGAATAAGGTATGCTGTCCATCTTGCTAAAAAGTACCATCATGGTACTTTCAGAGTGTTTTGCCATGGTGTTACTCGATTTCTCCAATGTGTCTAACGCTTACCCACATGCACCTTCCACAATCCCTACAATTGCACCGTATAAACGGTTTTGCTTGTTTCTTCCATGTTTTTTTTGCTGTGCTTCTACTCCATAGTGGTCACATATCGAAACTGCAATTTTTCCATTGCTTTTCCATTACGCGATAATGGTCCCACATCGGAGCCTCAATTTTACTTGGCATCATTTTACCCTCTCCCTATTCTTTCCACCGTTTTTCCTCGCGTATCAATTTTCCAAGCGTTCTACTCAAATTTTCCATTGCTTTCCCATTTTTTCCCATTGTTTTATATCATAGTCTCTCATTTTTTCCATTGTTTTTCTCATCATTTTCCCCTCCTTTCCCATTTTTTTCCCATTGTTTTATGTCATATTCCCTCATTTTTCCATTGTTTTTCTCATCATTTTCCATCATTTTCCCCTCCTTTCCCATTTTTTCCCCATTGTTTTATATGATATTCCCTCATTTTTTCCATTGTTTTTCTCATCATTTTCCCCTCCATTGCAATCTCCCCAAGTCCACCTCGGAGGGCGGACCAGGGGGGAATCGATACCCCACCGTCACCCAATTGCCACCTGGTACATAACCCTAAAAAACTTTACCTGTGGCCACCTTTTTTACCACCTAATTTCCCGATTTTTGGCCCTCTCGGGGCGCTCTGCCCCCAGACCCCCTTAACTCACTTTGTTCGCAAAAAGAACTTCGCCTAGCCTAGCGGCTGGCTTTCGTGATCAATTTCTCCTTCCATTTCAGCGATGTTTCCAGTGTTTTGCCACAGTGTTGCTCGATTTCTCCATTTCATCATGTTTTTCAGTGTTTTGCCATGGTGTTACTCGATTTCTCCATCATACCCTTATGTTACCCCAGTGCGTCGAACGCTCGCCCAAATGCCACAATCCCTACAGTTGCACCGCATAAACAGTTTTGCTCGTTTCTTCCATGGTTTTCTTTCCGTGCGTCTACTCCATAGTGGTCACACATCAAAACGGCCATTTTTCCATTGCTTTTCCAATGTTTCACGCGTGCTTTACGTGACTTGGCATCATTTTACCGTCTCCTCATTGTTTCCACCGTTGCAATCAATTTTCCAAGCGTTCTACTCAAATTTGCCATTGCTTTCCCATTCTTTTCCCATTGTTTTACGTCATATTCCCTCATTTGTTCATTGTTTATCCCAAATTTCAGACATATGGCATTGTTTATCTCAAAATTTGGGCAAAAACTGAACTTCTGCACATCGCATGTGTGTCATCTCCTCATATCGAAACTGCAATTTTTCCATTGCTTTTCCATTACGCGATAATGGTCCCACATCGGAGCCTCAATTTTACTTGGCATCATTTTACCCTCTCCCTATTCTTTCCACCGTTTTTCCTCGCGTATCAATTTTCCAAGCGTTCTACTCAAATTTTCCATTGCTTTCCCATTTTTTCCCATTGTTTTATATCATAGTCTCTCATTTTTTCCATTGTTTTTCTCATCATTTTCCCCTCCTTTCCCATTTTTTCCCATTGTTTTATGTCATATTCCCTCATTTTTCCATTGTTTTTCTCATCATTTTCCATCATTTTCCCCTCCTTTCCCATTTTTTCCCCATTGTTTTATATGATATTCCCTCATTTTTTCCATTGTTTTTCTCATCATTTTCCCCTCCATTGCAATCTCCCCAAGTCCACCTCGGAGGGCGGACCAGGGGGGAATCGATACCCCACCGTCACCCAATTGCCACCTGGCACATAACCCTAAAAAACTTTACCTGTGGCCACCTTTTTTACCACCTAATTTCCCGATTTTTGGCCATCTCGGGGCGCTCTGCCCCCAGACCCCCTTAACTCACTTTGTTCGCAAAAAGAACTTCGCCTAGCCTAGCGGCTGGCTTTCGTGATAAACGATTTCACTCGCTGATTCTATGGTTTTCTGTCTGTGCGTCGACTCGATACTGGTCCCATCGGAGCCGCAATTTTGCCATTGTTTTTCCATTGTTTGACTCCACTTCTTCAGCATAGTCCCTCAATTTTTCCATTGCTTTCCATCGATCCACATCGAAGCCATATTTTTTTTGTCATTGCTTTTCCATAGTTTTACTCGACATCATTTTCCCCTTCATTCCATGTCTCCCCAGTGTTTTTTTCACAGTTTTTCCTCCAGTTTTACTCAATCGTCCCATAGTTAACACTATCAATTTCTCCTTCCATTTCAGCGATGTTTCCAGTGTTTTGCCACAGTGTTGCTCGATTTCTCAATTTCATCATTTTTTTCAGTGTTTTGCCATGGTGTTACTCGATTTCTCCATCATACCCTTATGTTACCCCAGTGCGTCGAACCTTCCACAATCCCTACAGTTGCACCGCATAAACGGTTTTGCTCGTTTCTTCCATGGTTTTCTTTCCGTGCGTCTACTCCATAGTGGTCATACATCAAAACGGCCATTTTTCCATTGCTTTTCCAATGTTTCACGCGTGCTTTACGTGACTTGGCATCATTTTACCCTCTCCTCAGTGTTTCCACCGTTGCAATCAATTTTCCAAGCGTTCTACTCAAATTTTCCATTGCTTTCCCATTCTTTTCCCATTGTTTTACGTCATATTCCCTCATTTGTTCATTGTTTATTATGGCATGAAGATTGCATTGCTTACAAAATTGTGGCAAAAACTGAACTTCTGCACATCACATGTGTATCATCTCCTCTTGGATACCACAACAAACTAGAAGAATGAGATTTATAATAGATGGTCAAAAATATGATCAGTATTTGAAGTTAGGTCAATCGGCGAGGCAGCAAAGGACCATAAGAATGCACTAAATCTTGAGCGAATAAGGTATGCTGCCCATCTTGCTAAAAAGTACCATCATGGAACTTCTGCACATCACATGGTGTTAATCAAAACGGCCATTTTTCCATTGCTTTTCCAATGTTTCACGCGTGCTTTACGTGACTTGGCATCATTTTACCGTCTCCTCATTGTTTCCACCGTTGTAATCAATTTTCCAAGCGTTCTACTCAAATTTGCCATTGCTTTCCCATTCTTTTCCCATTGTTTTACGTCATATTCCCTCATTTGTTCATTGTTTATCCCAAATTTCAGACATATGGCATTGTTTATCCCAAAATTTGGGCAAAAACTGAACTTCTGCACATCACATGTGTGTCATCTCCTCATATCGAAACTGCAATTTTTCCATTGCTTTTCCATTACGCGATAATGGTCCCACATCGGAGCCTCAATTTTACTTGGCATCATTTTACCCTCTCCCTATTCTTTCCACCGTTTTTCCTCGCGTATCAATTAGCGTTCTACTCAAATGTTCCCTTGCTTTCCTATTTTTTCCATTGTTTTATATCATAGTCTCTCATTTTTTCCATTGTTTTTCTCATCATTTTCCCCTCCTTTCCCATGTTTTTCCCATTGTTTTATGTCATATTCCCTCATTTTTTCCATTGTTTTTCTCATCATTTTCCCCTCCATTGCAATCTCCCCAAGTCCACCTCGGAGGGCGGACCAGGGGGGAATCGATACCCCACCGTCACCCAATTGCCACCTGGTACATAACCCTAAAAAACTTTACCTGTGGCCACCTTTTTTACCACCTATTTTCCCGATTTTTGGCCAGTTAGGACCGCTCTGCCCCCAGACCCCCTTAACTCACTTTGTTCGCAAAAAGAACTTCGCCTAGCCTAGCGGCTGGCTTTCGTGATTAATAGTGGATTTTCCCATTAAAAATGGTGATTTTCCATAGCTATGTTAAATTACCAGAGGGTAGATCTATATGTTCTTTATTCAACTTTATTAATCTATCCACATGTTCACGTACTCTATGCATCTATTTACTCACATAATCTCACATATGTATGAATGTACAATTGAATGTGTTCATCTATTATATTGTAGTAACCCCCAAAGATGCTGAAGAGATTCAATTTATCACCTAATTTCAGTGAAAGAATTTACTAAATGCCATCTTTTTTGGGAGGAATTGCAAAGAAATGAAGAGTATCTGTAGATCTGTATGTGTTTAGTTCTTATGTATCCACATGCTCATATAATGTATCCATTTATCCACGTATCTAAGTTGAAAGATTCAATGAATCACTTCATTTCAGTGACTTCGATCAACTTTTAGGACTCCATCGTTGGACACCTGAGTTCTCCGCATCATCCAACACTGAGAAGAGCTCAAAGACGTCGCCCTTGTAGCCCAGCTCTCGCATACCTTTTCTGGGAAAATGGAGGTGGGTCACAAAATCCCACGGAGAACATCGAGAAAATTCTGGTAAATTCCCATGATTCAACCATCATGGTTGGATATGTCCTGGAAGAAGTATATGAAATTGATCATTTCATGATGGTCTGAAAATGGTGTTTTCCACCCCCATCTCCAGTTGGACACGCCTTCGATGTTGGACAGCTCCGCGTTTATGAGAACTACGTCACTTCAAAAAAATCATCATCTGCGTGTGTCTGAACATGGGCTCATGGGGCTGCAAGCCCCACAAATAAGTCGTCTAAAAAAGCGCATCGACGATTAACCACTGAATTTCGGAGCAGTTTCTCCAAACAAACCCGTTTTTTTTACGGTATGGAACGACCGCATCCACCCATTCTCGGCTGGCGCCTTTGCTAAACTCCGCCCTGGAGATACGGTGATCCTGGCGGATCCCCAACTCCACATGAGATGATGCAGTGATACAGTGATACATCCAGTAACAGTTCGACCCTGGCAGATGGGGGTTGGAAGACTAGTTTCAAATAGAAATTCCATGGTTTTCATGGTCAACAAGTTAATTTACCAGAGGCTAAAATCACTTCCAAAGCATGTTCCTCAGCCATTTCCAAACCGCCATTTCCTCTCCCACGATGTGTCCATTTTCTGATTGATTCTCCCATCTTTCCCATGCTGTTCCATGGACAAATCCAGCCAAACTTCACCATATCTCGATCGAAGAACTCAATCCAGGCGCGCAACACAGAGCCTGCGAAAGGCCAGGATTTCCCCACCATCCCATCCCCATATTGAACAGCCCATGGCTATATGGATCCATATGGGTCAGACATATGTGTGGAATCCCTTGCTCAAACCAGGGTTTTTTGCGATTTGAACCTCAAATATGATATCAACTGGTGGCTGTTGCTGGGGGAAAAAAACAAAAAACCTCGTCTTTTTTGAAAACGCCAATGGTTTCATGGCCTGCCGCCATGGATCAATTGCAGGTTGCTCAAAATCATTCAAAATCCATCCTGCGAACCCATTCCCACCATTTTCATATACCCTCTGGTAATTTAACATAGCTATTGAAAATGGCCATAGAAATAGTGGATTGTCCCACTGAAAATGGTGATTTTCCATAGCTATGTTAGTTTACCAGAGGGTATCAAATTTCCAGCATATGATCTACATGGCATCGTGGGGGAAACAACAAAAATATCGATGTCGGTCCCCCTATCCCAGATATTCCCAGATCAGCAGTTTCTCATGGCAAGCAGACACGAGTACCAACAAAAATCGACGTTAACTAAGATATCTCCTCGAAAAATTGCTGACAATTTACACCAAGCAAACCAACCAAACTCATCGAGTTTGAGTCATTAAAAAGCCATCACTTAATCCCACACTCATCCCATTCCAGTCATCCGTCCAACTCCTGTGGATGAGATCATGAAGTGCCGCAGATGTTCCATGGCTTTCGCTGGGTCATTGCCATAGACTGTCTTGCTCTTGGTGGACCTCGGCGTGATCCCAAGCTCGGCACAGGCTCGGATATGTTTGATCTAGATGGATCTGTGATATCACAGATATACCCGTATAGATATGTTAAGTGGTTGTTAATTAGATGTGTGATATATATATATAGCATATAATTATAGCATATATATAGCATATGGTAAATTATTGTGACTAGATATGTGACATAAACTGTATGTTCATATATGCGGGGACGTGTATTTATATATATATATACATAGGCAGATACGTGATATACAACGAAATTATTCACGACACAGACGTGTATTGCGACTCGACCAAGGATTCCTCCTTTTGGACACAAATTGCAGGTCCAGACTTCCTGAGACCTTGTAAACTACCCTCTGGTTATGTCAACATAGCTATTGAAAATTACCATTTATAATGGATTTTCATTGATTTTCCCATGAAAAATTGTGATTTTCATTGATTTTCCATAGTTATCTTAGTTTACCAGAGGGTAGCAGTTCGATGTGGAGTTTTTCCCGGAATTTACCATTTGTAGATCCTGTTCCGGGTATCTCGCGGCCGGGCCCCGCAACTGTCTTTCCAATTTGGCCTTCCAGTGGTTGTTGGAGAACCTGCCGTCCATCCCGGCGTGGGAATACCCGAGGCTACCCTCGAGTCTCGTGGTCAACGTTCATTCAATGCGAATGCGGAAAATCACCATTTAAAATACGTAAATCACCTATAGCTGGGCCATTTTCCAATATTTTCCATAGCTATGTTGGTTTACTGGAGAGTATTCATATATATATATATACACACAACCCCCTCTGCATGGGACAATCCCCTTGGGAAAAAATTTGACCCAACTTTCGGCCATGGCTCCGCAAGTTCGAAGTTCTGTTGCCACCCCATTCACTCAGACAATGCAAAATCCCAGGGATTCCAATGGCTGAGCCATAGCCATTTTTAGCCATTTTTAGCCATAAAAACATATGGCTTCTCATCCCAATGGTTCTTTTTTGATTTTTTTTGGGGGGGGTTGTCTGAGAATAGGAACCTCGCTACCCATTTTTGTACCCCTCACCTCCTCATGCCGTCGAATTTCCTCACCACTTCGCGGTGGGAAGTGTCACGGATGAGCCCCGTCAGACCAAGCGGTCATCCGCAAGTCGTGTCAGTTCTTTCCACCTGTTTCCACCATTTCAACTGGAACATGTTATGATTGTCATGGGTTTTCCATGTTCTCATTCACTATGGACTTCTACCCTCTGGTAATTTAACGTAGCTATTGAAAATGGCCATTAATAGTGGATTTTCCCATTAAAAATGGTGGATCTTTCCATAGCTATGTTAAATTACCAGAGGGTAATGGATCCTGTCTGATCGTTTTAAACGGCGCTTTTCCACATGGATGACTTGGAGCAGAAAACCTTGGCACAGACGTGTAAGGAGCAGCGAGGTGTTCCGAACTGGGTGGAATGGGTCAAAGTCAAAGGGCACAGAGGGACTGGGATGAAAAACCATGGAAAAAGAATGGAAAAACATAGAAAAACCACCATTTTTCCATCCAAAATCCATCCAAAATCGAACATATCTAACTGAATCTAAGCCACCACTTCAACAAAGTCGCCTGACCTAAGTGGTCCCTAAGTGTCAAAAGTGCCCTTTTTCCCGATGGGTTCGCGTTCCGTAAAGAGCCAAAGGCAACCCCATGTCATCACGACAGGGTCACCAGGAGGCTACCAGTGCGCCCACAGCGAATGTGGCAGTGGGGGATGAGTGGCGCAGGAGCCAGCCTCCCTGAGGGAGAACTGGGAGGTTTCCATCGTGAAGGGTGGGATAGCCGACTTCAAAAGGTCAACCAGCTTGATGTTTGAATCCAGACTTGACATCAATTTTGAATGAATCAATCATCCTCATGAAAATTTCATGGTCTTTTATTTTCAAATAACAATGGAATAACAATGGAATGTCCATGGATTTCAATGGACTCCATGCTGCTGCCATCGCTTCCCCACCCTTCAGCTCCTCATCATATGACGAGGGGATGAAACCCGGCGGCCCAGGAAGTGAAACAGGCCAGCCATCGGTCGTTTCGTGTCTCTCCATGGGTTAAACGGTCTAAAAATCGTGCCTCCTCCGATGCAAAAACGACTGAAACTGGTTGTTTCATCTATGGCCTAAAAATCAGATGATTACAGATTACAATATATAATATGTATATGATATTATTATACCAGTGATATATCTCAACTCCCCTTAAAAATATGGTTTTTCCATCTATCTTTGCTGACTTGACTTTTGGTTGAGCCTCGAGCCTCGATCCATTGCTGTCGCACTTCACCGTGGCTGGCCACAAACGACTGGCATCATTTTCCCAGGGAGATGGTATGAGACAAGGACTCTGTGTAGGACCTGAGGGCAGTTGGCGCGAGAGTTCGGGTGCATCATGGCTTCCACCACCACCACCACCACCACCTCATCATCATCATCATCATCATCATCATCACCATCATCATCATCATATTTTTCTTCTGTTTCTTCTTCTTCTTCTTCTTCTTCGTCTTCGTCTTCGTCTTCGTCTTCGTCTTCGTCTTCTTCATCATCATCACCACCAATAAAATGATCATCATGACATTACAAATGACAATATTTTTTTGATGATAAAAATCATGATGAAAGTAACATATTTTAACAGTGATTCAAGAAAACAATCATGCATATCATGCTCATGGTAACGGTCACTTTACTCGCAACAAAACAAAAACTGTTTTAAAAAGTCACCACCACCCAGGCGCGCCAGGATCGCCAGGGCGCTTATCGAAGGTGGCACCGATGATGTTGGCTCCCTGCTTTCCCGGGAAGTGACCGCCTCAACTGGCGTTCAGGCGGAGGGTATCCCAAGACATTCTGGCGTTCTGGCGGTTCCCAGTATGGATCATGATACCTATTTTTTCGGAATCCGAAAAATAGGATCCTCAAGTATATCAACCAAAAATGTTTCCCATATGTCATATAGTTTTCACATAGATCTTTAAAGATCTTTAACAAACAAAATCTTCAAATCCACATCATTTTGAGGCTTAAATCATGTGAAGAATCCAGTCCAAGTCCCAGGCTGAAGCCCGAGATCACTGGAGGGACTCCTTCCTGCGCGCACACGGCGCCCAGATAGCGCACTTTTTTAAGGGTTGATGCTTTGGAAGTCTGGGAATTGATGATACCTATGCCTTTTTTTAGTATAACCTCATCAACTGGATCTGGAAAAAATCCAGGGGCTGTTCTTTCCAACTGCTGATTTTTGCTGAAGTTTTTGCTGAAGGATCTGGAACATTTCCCTCGCAATTCTGAAGGAAATGACCCACGGTTGGTTCTGAGCAGTTCTTGGCAACCGATTGTGAGAAAATAGCTGACAGTTGGAACCAAGAATATGGGGATCTTACCCAAAGAATATTGGATACAAACGGATTTTTATTTATAAATACATATGTGTATATATATATATATATGTGCTCTTTACATATTATACATGTTTTTTTACATAAATATATATATATATACACACACACGTGTGCGTATACACAACATGATGCAACAACCTGCAACGTGCCGAGCGAGTGCTTCAGCAGCGCCAAAAAGACCACCGGGGCCCAAACCGGAATGGGATCACGGATCACCCAATCCCGCCATCGGAAAACCATGGCTGGAACCAAAAAAAAAATCACAACACCAACATTCAAATTTAAGAACCTCAATCCTAATTACGACGTATGTATACTACTACAAAACATATTATGGGATAGTTTTCAATAAATATTCACCCATTATATGGGGTAACTAATCCTAATTTTATGTGTACATATACCATTATATATGGGGTATAATATACCATAATACCTTTATAGACAAATACCAAAACACCAAAATACCAAAATACCAAAATATCAAAATACCAAAATATCAAAATATCGATATATATATATATACCTTTATATTAAAAAAAAAATACCAATATATACCTTTATATACCAATATATACCTTTATATATACCAATATATTACCATTATATGGGGTAACTAATCCTAATTTTATGTGTACATATATCCTTATATATGGGGTGTCATATACCATAATACCTTTATATAAAAAACTAACTGGAATCATTCACGGAACGGCGTTGCCGCCTCCATCTTGAAGTGCGCCGCCGTGCCGCAGCCCGTCTGCGAGGTGGTTTGGAACAAGATGGGTCCCGAACGAAGCCCGTGGCCCTGGGGACGCGTGGCATGGGGCAGGGGAGGGTGGCTATAGATTGGTTTTAACGGTTTTTACCATCAAAAATGAACTCAAATTGTCTGTGTATGTCTGCGTGTGTGTGTTTGGCATGTTTTTTTTTGAATTTCATCGTTCTGTCATCAAAAGTGTGGATTTAACCGTTCAAATCAACTGTTTTGGTTGGTCAATAGATTGATTTTGTGGGGAAACGTTTCCTGAAACCAGAAAAATAACCCTGCAAAAAATCGGTGTTTTTTGCTTGAAGTGGATACCAACAACTCGGAATCTGGCACTTTTCTTACGAGAAAAACCATCGGCTGGGACCCGAATTGGCCCTGCACCTTTGATCCCGAAGTGGCTGACAGGGAGGGATCCGACCTCGACGTGGAAATGTTGCAAAAGGAATGGGGCTGATGAAGCAGAAGCAGCAGCAGCGGCGGCTGCGTCAACAACAACAACAACAACAACAACAACAACAACAAAAACAAACAAACAAACAAACAACAACAACAACAACAACAAGGAAGAAGAAGAAGAAGAAGAAGAAAAGAACAAGAACAAGAACAAGAACAAGAACAAGAACAAGATGGTGATGATGATGATGATGATGATGGTGATGATGACGATGACGATGACGATGACGATGACAATGACGATGACGATGATGATGATGATGATGATGATGGTGATGATGATGATGATGATGATGGTGATGGTGATGGTGATGATGATGGTGATGGTGATGAAGAAGAAGAAGAAAAAGAAGAAGAAGAAGAGGAGGAGCATGCACTTGAACATGAACATGAACATGTGTTTTCGTCATGAAATTTTGTTACCGTAATGATTTTTTGAAAAAAAAAAATACCATCAAAATGGTATCTGCTCGATATTCTACCATCAACAATTTTGTTGGGACAGTTGCTTGGCATTTCCGCTTGCGAGGACCTTAGACCTTCTTGGAGCTGTGACCTAATCTAATCGCGACCATTTGCTATTTCGAAGAGTTACCTTCAAGATTATTCTGAGAGCCAAGGGAATCATAGGATGTTGGTTCTCATTTTGTGTCTCACATGGCCCCCATGGGTGGTTTTTTGCAGAAATCGTCCCTTACCCTCTGGTACCCCAACATGTTTTGCTGGAGAACCCCCCCTTCAGTTCCATGATTTCTCTAGCAACTATAAAGCCTCCATGGATGATGATGGATAATATGGTTAATATTCAATAATTATATCCCTTGATCCATTCTCCAGCTATCCATATTATCCATCTATAACCATATTATAATCCATAAATCTCCATTTACTTCGGGACTTCTCCATATTTTCCCATGGATTTTCCCATATGTTTCCACCTTTTCCCGTTGTTCACTTCGGGGATTTATGTTCCTAGCCATGGCTAGTTCGGCGTGCCGTGCCCTGAGTTCCCCCGGCTGCTTTGGTGGTGGCACGTCCGCAAACTCGTCCCCAGGCAGACGGGGCGAATCAGACCTGGCAACGACCCGGACAAAACGACGGACCACGGGGGACCCTTGGGATGGCCAATTATTATCCTCTGGGTTTGAGATGGGGTTAATGGAAATATTAGTATATTACCCTCTGGTTATGTCACAATAGCTATTGAAAATGACCATTTATAGTGGATTTTCCCATTAAAAATGGTGGTTTTCCATAGTTATGTTAGTTTACCAGAGGGTAATTGCCAGACTATTTTTGTGGGGCTAATGACTATTTTCGAATATCCATTGTTAACCCCATATTGAAACCAGGGTCCCATTTTGAAATGGTATCCCCATAAATCCATTGTCAACCCCATATATATTCCTTAGGTATCCCCATAAAATGACTATTTTTATGGTTAACAAATTTAGCAATGGATATATGGGGTTGAGATGGTGAATATTAATTGTTAACAATGGATATATGGGTTGTGCTGGTGCTGCTCATGATTTGCAATAGGAATGGTATAACGTCAGTCGGTCGTTGAGAGTTCGTTAAAGCTTTCGTTGAAGATTTCGTGGCAATCCTTGTGGCAATCCATTTTGCCACACCTTTTGCCACAAAAAATGATCGTGAGAATTTCGTTGAAATTTCGTCAAAGATTTCGTTGCTTCAACTCAAGTTTGACGAAATTTCAACGAAGTTTTGGACGAAATTTCGACGATTTTTTTTGTGGCAAAATGTTGTGGCAAAACGTTTTGCCACAATATTTTTGATCAAAAAAAATCGTTGAAATTTCGTCAAAGATTTCGTTACTTCAACTCAAGTTTGACGAAATTTGAACGATTTTTTTGACGAAATTTTGACGATTTTTTTTGTGGCAAAATGTTGTGGCAAAACGTTTTGCCACAAAGCACCCGACGAAAAGTCTGACGAAATTCTGACGAAATGAAAACGAAAGAAACAACAAAGAAAATCCTTATACCAGAACATATTGCAAGTGGTAGGAAATCATGGTGGAGTTCGATCACAATATATGGGGTTAGATGGTGAATATTAATGGTTCATATGGCTCATATCGTTGATAATGGATATATCATATATCGTTACTATGATAATGGATTCTGCTGGTTCGTTTTGATCAAGGCTAATATGGTTAGGTTATGGCTAGCCAATTTGTATAAGCCAAATGCCATAAACCATCCCAAAATAACGAGAAATTGGTGGCTATGGAAATACTAGCTACAGTACGAGCTACCCATTCTCATTATCAGAGAATACCAACGTGCACAGTAAATGGATTAGTGTTTGGTTAGCTATTCCTATGATAAAAGTAACTATGGTTAATTCTTGTGATGAATAATTTGATACAATGACCCCCTTACGGTTAACCTTGCCCTCTGGTGATCTTCTGTGGAAGCAATGGCCAATTAAGTTCGACGGTTTGCCTATGAAAAATTGTGGCTCTCCAATGTGTTCCATAGCTATGTTGCGTACCAGAGGATAGCCATTTGGATCATTTGGGAGGTTCAGATAATTGTTTGGGGGATGATGATCTATAGTCATTATTCTGGGATCATTTGAAACGATTCCCAGTTTGGCGGTCATGTGGGACCATCATCCCAGGATGGAAGATATTTTGGCAAAGACTGTGCAAAGACGTGGCCTCTGTACACCACCCCAACATGGTGACCACGCTTGCTTAGATGTCAAGCAAACAAAACACAGCCTCCGCAACTCACTGTGACCCGGCTTCTTAGAAGAACGGCACTAAGGCTTTCAAGACTCCATGGCAAGGTCACCTGCTCCAGGCTTTGATTGAAGCTATGTCCAAAACTCAAGCTTTGAAGGCTCGATGGCAAGGTCACCTGCTCCAGGCTTTGATTGAAGTTATGTCCAAAACTCAAGCTTTGAAGGCTCGATGGCAAGGTCACCTGCTCCAGGCTTTGATTGAAGCTATATCCAAAACTCAAGCTTTGGAGGCTCGATGGCAAGGTCACCTGCTCCAGACTTTGATTGAAGTCAAAGCCAAAATTCAAACTTTGAAGACTCGGTGGCAAGGTCACCCGCTCTAGGCTTTGGTTGAACCTAGCGCCAAAATTCAAGCTTTGAAGACTCGATGGCAAGGTCACCCGCTCCAGACTTTGATTGAAGTCAAAGCCAAAATTCAAGCTTTGAAGACTCGATGGCAAGGTCACCTGCTCCAGACTTTGATTGAAGTCATTGCCAAAATTCAAGCTTTGAAGAGTCGATGGCAAGGTCACCTGCTCCAGACTTTGATTGAAGCCATTGCCAAATTTCAAGCTTTGAAGACTCGATGGCAAGGTCACCCGCTCTAGGCTTTGGTTGAACCTAGCGCCAAAATTCAAGCTTTGAAGACTCGATGGCAAGGTCACCTGCTCCAGACTTTGATTGAAGCCAATGCCAAAATTCAAGCTTTGAAGACTCGATGGCAAGGTCACCCGCTCCAGGCTTTGATTGAACCTGTCGACAAAACTCAAACTTTGAAGGCTCGGTGGCAAGGTCACTTGCTCCAGCCTTTGGTTGAACCTAGCGCCAAAACCCAAGCTTTGAAGGCTCGATGGCAAGGTCACCTGCTCCAGGCTTTGACTGAAGCTATGTCCACAGCTCAAGTTTTGAAGGCTCGATGGCAAGGTCACATGCTCCAGACTTTGATTGAAGTCAAAGCCAAAATTCAAGCTTTGAAGACCCGGTGGCAAGATCACCCGCTCTAGGCTTTGGTTGAACCTAGCGCCAAAACCCAAGCTTTGAAGACTCGATGGCAAGGTCACCCGCTCCAGACTTTGATTGAAGTTATCTCCAAAACTCAAGCTTTGAAGGCTCGAAGGCAAGGTCACCTGCTCCAGACTTTGATTGAAGTCAAAGCCAAAATTCAAACTTTGAAGAGTCGATGGCAAGGTCACCCGCTCTAGGCTTTGGTTGAACCTAGAGCCAAAACCCAAGCTTTGAAGACTCGATGGCAAGGTCACCCGCTCCAGACTTTGATTGAAGTCACAGCCAAATTTCAAGTTTTGAAGAGTCGATGGCAAGTTCACCTGCTCCAGACTTTGATTGAAGTCATTGCCAAAATTCAAGCTTTGAAGAGTCGATGGCAAGGTCACCTGCTCCAGACTTTGATTGAAGTCATTGCCAAAGTTCAAGCTTTGAAGACTCGATGGCAAGGTCACCTGCTCCAGTGTCTGATTGAAGTGATATCCAAACTTCAAGTCTGTGAGGCTCAAGGGGAGATGATGTAAATACTCTCCCGGCATTGCTCCCTCAAGTTGTGTAACACCTTCTAGCACAAGATCTCTCTCACAAGCCGTGAGCCCACAGACATAGCACCATGCAGAGTACAGATTTGTTGGCATGTAAGTGCAAGACAAAATTGCCGATTTTCCAGCAATCCCTTGCTTGCCCAAGGTTTGATCAAGAGTCAGCTTCTGATTGTCGTGATGCACAGCGAGCTTTGCGCGTGGTTTGCGTGGAAGTTTCTTTGACACCAACCTGGCCAGGTCATGCCCTAGCATCGAGCGGGGGACACTTAAGTTCACTTCTTCCCCCGTCAAGCACAGCACCTGAAGATCGACCTCATCAACTTCATCTGCTGCACCTTTGTCGGTAGATGATGGATCCTCATAGCCATGTTGTGCACGGGACATTGGTGAGATATGTGAAACCACCAGCCAGAAAAAAATGGTGCTTGGGATTGAAAAAAAAAGTGGGTCCCTGAGTCCATGTTCCTTGGATATCTGAAAGATGTTTAATGAAATTTTGCGCAGGCATACATATGTCATATGTCATTACATTTTGCCGCACAGCACAGTATCCTTCTAGCAGTTGTTGCCCTGTCTCTATCACAGCAGGGTTGAGCTAACTGGCGATTTGGGAGAAAAAAAACGGCTCACAGTCCTCCGAAATGACCTGCCATATTTCAGAAACATATGGGGATGGGTCAAACCCTGGTACCCGGATGGTACCCTAAAATAGCTGGCCCAAAATGTGTTTTTTTTTCGGTTTAGACCCATCCCCCACATAAAAATCATCGCTATTTTCAAGGTCGCATCACCAACACTTGAAAATCACAACCCAGCTGAGCGCCCGCATGGTCGCGGCACATTCATCCTGTTTCTCTCTCCCAAAAAATGCATTTAAACAGCAATAAAGGACAAATGAGGGTCTCCCTAATCTTCCGACCAAAAATGCAAAACTAACATGTTTTGGTACCCCCCATGTCCCACTGTTCCCAACCGGGTCAGCACTGGCCCCACCTCCACCAACGCTCTTCAGGAGATGTCAAGATCACAGCATCGGGAGGAACACATTTCCTCGGTCGGTGAAGGCCATGTAGTACTATGACTTTAACCATTGACCATCAAGATTTAAGTATTAAACAATGCCCATTAAAACTTGAGAGCAGGCGGAGGCGGACGAAAGGTAGTGTAGTGGGAGAGGAGTGGTGTCAAAACGCTGCGCCCCTAAGATGATACACCAAAAACGTTTTTGCGCAGTCTAAGATGATTTTATCGAGAGCATGACTGCATGATACGGTGTCTTGTGCAGCGTGAAATGATGCACGAAAAGGGGTTTATTTAAAACCCCTTTTTAAGACCCCTTGCAGCAACTGTTATTGAGGCTGAAGCATACCAATTATGCTGGACTACAGGGACATCTCCCTCATGGAAAGTGTGCCTCTAATGTGGGGGCCCGTGACCGCGTCACCCGTGGGAATTGAACCCATGACCATTTTAATTGATATCCAATACATAACGGCGAGAATTCCACGTTTGACCCGGGCTGGCCCCCCAATACCCCTTATGATTGTGCTGAAGCACGGAGAACTCAGGTAGCTGACGCTACCTTTCGTGACATATGGGTAACTACAAGTATTAAAGCTATTTTATACCAAAACCATGATCTACTGACACTATTCCCCAAACAGCGTGGCCACACTGAAGGGGTTCTTACGGTAAGTGTTAAGGCCCGGCCTTCATTCGAGGTGGTATCCTTAGCGTTCGGCATTTTCCCTATAAATTTCAACATAGAAATTGCTCTTGTGGCATGTCCATGTGCATTTCGACTGCGCAGGCTCGCACGAAACGGGTGTCGCGGTATTAGAGGTTCTCATTTTCCCTGTAAAATTAAACACAAAATGGCTCTTGTCAAATGTCCATGTGCATTTCCACTGCGCAGGCTCGCATGAAACGGTGTCCTCGGCCGGGGCGTCCGGCATTTTCCCTGTAAATTTCTGCATCTCTTGTGACATGTCCATGCGCATTTCGGGCGCACAGGCTCGCACAAGGGACCACTGGGGCGCGGCATTTTCCTTGTAGATTTCCGCAAGAATGGTTCTTGTGACATGTCCATGTGCATTTTGGCTGCGCATGCTCGCACAAAACGAGACATCTCGTACAGAAATCTTGCCAAGAGACCTCTTATAGGGAGCTTGCACAGAGATCTTGCCAAGAGACCTCTTATAGAGATCTTGTTCAGAGATCTTGCTAGGAGACTTCTTACAGACATCTTGCCAACAGAGCTCTTGTAGAGATCTTGTACAGCGACCTGGTGAATAAAGCAGCGATCTCTTCAAAAGAGATCTTACTTTGAGATCCCTCACAGAAATCTTCTGTGGAGATCTTATAGAGAGATGTCTTCAAGAGTCTTGCCAAGAGACCTCTTGTAGAGATCTTGTACAGGGATCTTGCCAGGACACCTCTCCTGGAGACCTTGTACAAAGACATTGCATAGAGATCTGTCGCAAAGATCTTGGCAAAAGGTCTCTTACATAAATCTTGCCAAGAGAGCTCCTATAGAGAGCTTGTACAGAGATCTCATAAATAGGTCCTGCCAAGAGATCTCTTTTAGAGATCTTGTCCGGAGGTCTTGCCAAGAGACCTCGCATAGAGATCTGTACAGAATGTACAGGGAGAGCTCTTATAGAAATCTTGTACAGAGATCTTGCCAGGAGACCTCTTATGGAGATCTTGTACAGAGACCTGGTGAAGAGAGCAGATCTTGCTCGGATATCATTTTTAAAAGCGTGAACAGATATCTTACTTTGAGGTCCCTTACAAAGATCTTCTGCGGAGATCTCCTGTAGACACCTTGTGCAGGTAGCCTTACACGGGGATCTTTCGCAGCAGCTTCTACAGAGAACTTGTCAAGGAGATCTTGTGCACAATCTTCCACAGAGATCTTCACAAAGGGAACTTGCAGAATCTTACCTGGTATCTCTTCTTGTCACTAATGTCAACCCCGGATTAATAAACCATGGTTTGTTAATTAGGGGGGTACTCCTCCAATAGTCATAATCCAATACTTAAATGGTACCACCCCAATTAACCAGCGTAAGGGTTTATTAATCCGGGGTTGACATTACTAGGGTCGCTCTTGTCCTGCTAGCTTGCAGCCACTGATGATTTTAGGTCTCTAGGTCCTTTCCACCTTTCCCTTTAGAATCCTAGCTACACACTGTTTGGGGTCTCTTGACAGGGATTATACCTTCGAACCGTCTCCTCCCTTTACAGCTCCCCCTGTTGGATCATCTTTTCTTGGCGATGTATGGCTTGAATCCCCATAAAAACCAATAAAACATCAAATGGCAACCATGGGGATTCAACCAAAATGGATTTTTATTGCCGTTGAATCCCTTAACAACCAATAAAAATTAAAAAACACCAATAGCACCATACAATGCCATCCAGGTTGCACCATTCCTTAACCATCCCCCAGGTTGAATTTGCCACGGATGATCTCCCAATCGCCGATGCCCAAGGGGCTTCTGGTTGAACGGTGGGGGGCTCAAGAGCTCCAACAATTCGGCCTGGGGTACCCTCTGGTACACGAACTTAGCTATTGAAGCCATGGCCATAGAAATAGTGGATTTAGCCATTAAAATACCTACTTATACCTACTTATACCTACTTATACCTACTTATATCTATATATCTATCTATATATATATGCCCATATTAATCTGGGTAAATGATCATAGTTACCCTCTGGTACACGAACTTAGCTATTGAAGCCATGGCCATAGAAATAGTGGATTTAGCCATTAAAATACCTACTTATACCTACTTATACCTACTTATATCTATATATCTATATATCTATCTATATATATATGCCCATATTAATCTGGGTAAATGATCATAGTTACCCTCTGGTACACGAACTTAGCTATTGAAGCCATGGCCATAGAAATAGTGGATTTAGCCATTAAAATACCTACTTATACCTACTTATACCTACTTATATCTATATATCTATATATCTATCTATATATATATGCCCATATTAATCTGGGTAAATGATCATAGTTACCCTCTGGTACACTAACTTAGCTATTGAAGCCATGGCCATAGAAATAGTGGATTTACCCATTAAAATACCTACTTATACCTACTTATACCTACGTATATCTATATATCTATATATCTATCTATATATATATATGCCCATATTAATCTGGGTAAATGATCATAGTTACCCTCTGTTACACTAACTTAGCTATTGAAGCCATGGCCATAGAAATAGTGGATTTAGCCATTAAAATACCTACTTATACCTACTTATACCTACTTATATATATATCTATATATCTATCTATATATATATATATGCCCATATTAATCTGGGTAAATGATCATAGTTACCCTCTGTTACACTAACTTAGCTATTGAAGCCATGGCCATAGAAATAGTGGATTTAGCCATTAAAATACCTACTTATACCTACTTATACCTACTTATATCTATATATCTATATATCTATCTATATATATATGCCCATATTAATCTGGGTAAATGATCATAGTTACCCTCTGGTACACTAACTTAGCTATTGAAGCCATGGCCATAGAAATAGTGGATTTACCCATTAAAATACCTACTTATACCTACTTATACCTACGTATATCTATATATCTATATATCTAT